GGGGGGGGGTCGCGCTATTGCGCTGCGAGCCCGCAGCTTTGCCCCAAGGACGGGGAAAATTTTCCCTTAAGTCCAGACCCTTTGCGCAGGAGGAGGAAGGAAAGGCAAACCTTATCAAGACGAGAGGGTTGTAATAGGAAAGAAATGTGCGATCAGCCAAGGAGCTCTCTGAAAACACAGCCTGACTCTTCGAGGCTGAGCAAAAGACTGGGGAGACGCTGCGCGATACCACGTGAGGGGGCGGAGCGTTTCCTCATCTAAAGCTCAGCCTGCAAGAAGAGGACTCAGAAGCACATCCCAGTCTCTGGATGCTCCGAGCGGCTCGAGGGAGAACATTTATACTTATGTTTATTCATACCCTATTATTTCATTTCACCATAACCTTTCATTCATCTCTCTTATTTTGTGTCTACCTTGCAACCAATTATACCATAAATTCCAAATTTCATGGTACTCTGTCTCTTTAGCGGCCTTAATTCACTTAACAACCAGGTTACTAATTTATCAACTGCAGTGATTCACTTAACAACTGTGACAAGAAAGGCTGTAAAATGGGGCAAAACTCACTTAACAAATGTTTCACTGAACAACACAAACTTCAGGCTCACTTGTGGTCATAACTCGAGGACTACCTGTACAACAATTGAAGCACATGATCACCATTTGCGATCTTTCCAAGGGCTTCCAGAAGGACAGAAAATGGCAGAAACCAGATTCTCTTAACAACCATGGCGATTTCCTTAATGATGTAGCAGAAAAAAGGTCATAAAATTGGATGAGACTCACTTTAATAATTGCATCACTTAGTGACAGACTTTCTAGCCCCAAATGTGATCATAAATTGAGGGCTACCTATAGGAAGTCCTTGACTTACAACCAGGGGTGGGATTCAACTGGTGTTACTACCGGTTTGGTACTTATGTTTTGCTTGTCAGAAGATCTCAAAATACAATCACCTGATCCTGGGACATTTCAACTGTCATAAATATGAAACCGTTGCCAAGCATCTGAATTTTAATCACGTGACCTTGGGGATGCTGCAATAAATAGTTATGCAAAAAATTGTTGTCTCTTTTTTCAGTGCCACTGTAACTTTGAATGGCCACTGAATGAATGGCTGTACGTCAAGGACTACCTGTATGTATATGGTTTTGCATAACATCCAAGCATTAATGAATATTTTGGCATCCTTCTCAATTTTAGGGGGGCAGGTGCTCCTCTAATTTTGCTGGAATTTTGCAGTAAACATTCTCATCCATGCTAAGATTATACCAAAATGATTATTGCAATAGTAGTGAATATCTGTAGTTTGGGTTAAAAGATTATCAAAATGATTATTATTTTTCTAATCAGTTCAAAAACATTTAGGCCTCAGGTTTAAGTCCACATCCATCAGATATCTGAGGAGACAGTCAACATCCCAAATTCCTGAAAACTTTCAGAGACCAGAAGTTTTTTTTTTGTTTTTTTTTTTTTGGGGGGGGGGGGGGGGGCTTACTGGCTACAACAACTTTATTTTACTACTTTGATGTTTGGCTGACTTCCAAGAAAAACATTCTCTTGTTGCATTTATCATTTTCTCCACATTTGTTTTAATGGCCATCTGAGAATGACTGTAGCTTCTATGCATTGGCAAATAAAAGAGTCTTATAGTACTTGAAACTCTAATTAATTGAAATGGTTCCAAAGTTTGGTGGTTTGAATATGACAGGAAAAGATCACAACTAAGTTTTGAACAGCTACCTCTCTTCTGAATACAGGACCAGCACAACAGAAGGTAATAGAAAAGAGATTTTCTAGAAATCCAACTGATAAAAATTACATTTGAAATCCATCCAAAATCTCATTAAGTCTGTCTTGCGAGAACCCGGTGCTTTTGCACAGATACTGTAAGATTTCAAGCAAGATAACTGAAAGCTCCTGAGATGTTAGCATTCTGCCCTGAAATTCCACAAAATTCAGGTCACTTTAAAAAAAAAAAGTTTTCTGATGCTTGCAACATCATGGGAGAATCACATATGGTGCTCCAGCCTGGAGAAGCCACTGACCCTGAATTAGAAAGAGAAACAAATAACCCTGTTTATCAGCGACCACAGGATCAGTGCCAGCCAAAAAAAAAGCTCCCAGCATGCCTTTGCAGCAAAGGTTGCATGCTTAGAAAAGCGTGAACCACCACACAATTAATGCTGGCACTGCAGCCTAGACAGATGTGAGGGAAAGTGTGCAATTAATAAATTTGGGAGGGGGTGGAATGGAGACAGGAGACAAGTTGCAAGACTAGATTCAGTGACCTTTCCAATACCTTCCACCTTTGCAATACTATATAAACACAGTATAAGTCCTAGACTGGATTCATTTTCATTGGAAGAAACAGAACCACAACTGGACTCCAGAAAAAAAAATATCTATACCATCTTTGCAGCTGCAGTCTTATATATGCATGTGGGAGTGTGTGTGTATATGCATGTGTATGTATATATGTATGTATATATGAGATTAAAAATGGATCACCTTCTCTGACAATCTTTTTTAAAACAAAATTTTATTAACATTTAAAACGCTGAATAAAAAGTAACAAGAAGTAATATTTAGAACGAGGGAGGGAAGGAAGGAAGGAAGGAAGGAAGGAAGGAAGGAAGGAAGGAAGGA